TTGAGCTTCCTACCCTTTTAATTATTACAGCGTCTTTTGAAAAAGCCGGGAGATTAGAAAGTATTGTTGCCTTTTGACAATTCTATTTGCATACAGGTTGAATTTTAATTTGCGTGCGGCCCAGATGGCGACGCGCTACTCCTCGTCCCCGCTATCGTCTACCTTTCACACAAAGATGCGCAGATGAGTCGGGGAGAGCTGGAAGGCTGCCAGGGAGACACTGGTGAACACAATAGCAACCGCAACGATCAATTTGATGTGTCACGTTATCAGTGGCTCTGCTCGGTGTGTCTTTCCAACAACGCCAAATTGTGGCACTTTTTATACAGGTTTAATCTGAGCCCCTAGTGGTAAAGTGTACAGTATCAATCAGCAAGAAAGTGTTATTGATAGAAGGGATTTTTAAGTTATATATTTATTCACCCCTGTCCTCTTGTCTGTTTCATGGCGTGATAATGGGACCTCGAGATATGGCCTCCTCCATCTGCACCTGTGGACTGTCTTCCCCAGCCCTGACACGTGTTCTGCATTGCGTGGCCTTGGTCCTCGTTCTACAGCCTGAGTCCTGGAATGGTTCGTGGGAGCGGTTCCCTCCCTCAATGAGGGCATCCCTGAGGTTTCTCACTTTACTCCAACTCAGTTTTTTTTGCAGTTGTAGGATGGTCTAAGGACTGTGGTGATGATCCAGGACACTCGACATTCAACAACATTTATGGACGTCATCAACCTTTATGGACATTTGTCATCTGCCTCTTATGGACAAATGGCTTTATGTGTTTTTTTTATCATTCCGTAGTTTTGTAAAGTGCTCCAAGATAACTACTATTGTGATTTAGGGCTAGACCAAAACAAATTGAAGTGATTTTGTCCTTTGCCCCATCTTTCATCTCCAGTTCATAAAAAAGAGTGCTCAAAGTTCTATAAAAAAAATAAGACGGCACATTGAAAAAAGTGAATTTACAATCCTTCAGTTGTCTGCACAGCACAACAGAACTGTTTTCAACCTGTATTTGAACATTGTCAGAGTAGAAGCCTGTCTCACATTATCAGTAAGACTGTCCCAGATTTCAGCTGCATAAATCTTAAATGTATAGAAAGTACAAGGCCTTTCTATCAATCTGGTCATTAATGTAAAAAACGTTGGCCGCAATAACCTCCATCAGCTCCATGCCACGGTAACAGCGGGTTACAGCGACATGTCCTGCCAACAACGCCAAAATGTGAGCGTGTGGCAAAGAGCGTGAGGGGGTGTGGTGGGGGGTCTCAGCTGCGGAGAGAGTGCCAGGGGCCCCCACAACACGATATGTAACATCGGTGTCAACAATGTCATTATACAGGGAGGGAGCGTGCCAACAAAGTCATTAGCCAGAGTGGAAGTGACCCAACTGTTTCGGCCACAATACCAACTCACAAATGCATTTCTGGAGGACACTCGGGGGGCTGCGGTGGGTTTGGAGAGTGGTGGGTTTGGAGGTGAGGGGGTAAGAGCTACGTTTACATCCAAGCTTTGTTTTGATGATTATACGACATACTCATTAAGTCATTAAGAGCATAGGGGGTGTGCTAATCCAGCCTAGTGCTGTGTTCAAACATATATATTGGGATGCATTTTCTTTATATTGGCGTATTTTGAACACGTGGCCCTGTACTACATTTTAAGGTAAGTAAAGAAGAGTTAAGCAAGAATGACATATTGAATGTTTAAAAATCCTTGCTATGTCCTGAATCGGCAGCCTGTGTGTCCGTGGGAGTGGATTCCTCTCTCATAATGGACCTCCCCAAGGTTTCTCAGTGGTTCCTTGCCGATGGAGGAGGGTCTAAGGACAATGATGATCTGGACATTTAGTGAAATTTCTGCACGTTTTTAGACATTGGGGGTCGCAATCCCAATTGACCAATGGCTATTCCAGTTTAAACAGTTTGATTCTCTGATCTGCCCTCTCCACACTCCCTCCAAACCAGCTAACAAACACAGTCCCTCCAAAGTGTCTTCCCCCTGTAGAGAAGCAGCGGATCTATTCTGAGCTCCTCCTGTGTGACTGAGATCCTCACCTTATCTTTGAGGGAGCGCGCAGCCACTCAGCGGAGGAAACTCATGTGGACTACTTATGTATCTGCGAATACTCAAAGCTGATGAGGGTGAAGACATAAAATGACCAGTAAATCCAGAGCTTTGAGTGCAGACGCTGCTCCCTCTTCACCACAGCAGTACAATACAGCTCTTATTAACAGACGCTGCTCCCTCTGCACTATCGCAGTCCGATACAGCGACCGCCTCACTGCACATAGCGCACCGATCCGTCTGTCAGAATCAATGTCGTAACTCGGTGAAAAACTCAATAAGGACTGTGCCTAATACACATCATACAATTAATGCCTCTGCAGCAGCAATTCCACGTCCGTCCTTCCATCTCGTCATGTCTTCGATGACACGCTACAGTCTGCAAACACAAACAGCTAATTTACAGTAATGACGGGAGTGGTTCTTGCGTGCGCCGCGGTAAATCTCGAGCCTTTTAGCGCGTCGATAATGGGCTCGGTGACTGTGCCGCTGATATGATAATCTGTTGTGGTAGTCACTCTGTAACGGCGGTCATTCGTCACAATGGGGGACTGTTCGGTACTCGTCTATTGATTTGTGGCGATTGCAAGAAAGGGTTCACAACAGAAGGAAGGAGAGGGGGAAGCCGCTTGGGACTGCTTCTGCGAGATAGTTAGTTTGCATTTGACCCAACTGTTTCGGCCACAATACCAACTCACAAATGCATTTCTGGAGGACACTCGGGGGGCTGCGGTGGGTTTGGAGAGTGGTGGGTTTGGAGCTTTTTGAGCTTTTACGCATGTAACAAATGTGTTCACTCATAAATAACAAATAAGGAGTTATTTTATGATCCATCCATGCCATAGACTTTGTATATAGACTGTATATAGATGGACAATGCTCAATGAAGCCCAATAAGTTACTGCTCACGGACAAAGTTTTGCCCCGACTTGCTCGGACTCCTATTGACTCCTCTTTCTCAGGTATAGTTTAAGTCCCCCTCACCATTTTGTACTTAAAAATCCATGGTTTAGTGCTCTCTGTGGTCCTGGCGATTTGATTTTGATATTGTGTTAGTAATTCATAGGCTTAGTGGAATTCTACGTATAGGACGTCATGGACAGAGTTGTTTCCGCCTTCTAAAGCACTGCATAAATACATACAGAATAAAACAGGTTTTGTTATTTTGTCTGATAAGTTACACAAAGGTTAGTGTTCGTAACATAATCTATGATTGATATTATAACTTCTCTTATTCTTTCAATTCAATGTAATTTTCTACGGCCCTGAACCAGCAAAGTTGACAAATCAACAACTTTACAAAGAGAATCAAACAGTTCAAACTATGCAATAACAACAAACACAGGAGCGGGATGATCATTGTCCATAAACATGCAAACATTTTCCAGATCACCACTGTTCTTAGACCTTGATGCCTTCAGGACTGAGGCTGTAGATCTAGAACTGAGGATGTAGATCCAGGACTGAGAATGTAGTTCAGGACTTTAAGCTGTAGATGACAATAAATAAGAAAGGGAAGAGGCAAGGATAGAGATATTTTAACAGAAGCAGACTTGAACAAACAGAGCTATAACTAATAATTATTTTTCCTGTTGCAAATCCCTGCTGGAAAACCTCACGTGAAGCTGCTTGCCTTTGGATCCCTGCGCCCTTACGGTGCGTCCTGCGTCCCGTTTGCCCTTGCCGATGCCGGTTCTAATTGATGGCCGTAGATTGGGGCTAACCTTTGCCTCCGCGGCGTGCAGATGAGAGCGGCCAGATTAGAAGCACAAAACTGGGCGGCGACGCGAGTGATGGATGGAGCGCTTTAAACACTACAATCCTTTATGTAAACAACAAAAGGCAGGTTTGCATCTGGGATTGGATTTGAGACATTTTCTTCATAATGTTGAAGGTTCTATCCATTCACACTAATATCAGCAACTTCTACAACATATTCACACATCCCCCCACGCAGTTATTTATTGTATTAATTATTGTTATTTAATCAGCAAATTATAATAGCAAGAGTGGTAGTTATTTTAAAAAGGTTAAAAAAGGTGTATTGATATGCAAAACACAATTTATGAATGAGAGGGAAACATCCAAGATATCCAATTGTTGTCGCGTTAATGTTGTTTGGTCCTAAAAGCTGCACGGTGGCTGAGTGGATAGCACTCTCGCTTCTCAACATGAAAGTCCTGGGTTTGAATCCAGGTCGGAACAGGGTCTTTCAGAGTGTAGTTTGCATGTTCTCCCTGTGTCTGTGTAGGTTTCCTCCACGTGCTCCGGTTTCTCCTACCACTAAAAATATGTACAATATGGCATGTGCCTCCTGTACTGGCGACCCTGCTCCCATCTCTGTGTGGAGTGAGAGGACAAATGCCCAAAAATGTGTGACTCTGGTCTGTGAAAGGCGGTATATAAATAAACTTACTTAACAACAGCAGTTTATGTGGTTGATTTATTAAGAAAAAAACATCTAAAAACTTTTTTTCTTTTATTGGGTTCATCCATTCATTTAAATCAGCAAACAGATTATGGGCCTGCAGGTCCACATTGGCCAAAGCCTGATCTAAATGCTCTAATTGAAACTCTTCGAGAAATCTTACGAATAGGAAGTCATAGATCGAAAAACAAACAAACAAAAAACATATTGTTAAACTGTGTGCCTTCACTGACCAAAGTTAGACATTTCTTATATAAGCAAAGTGAAATTCCCCACTTCTACCACTAGATGGGGCTGTTTTTCTACTAATTATCCAGGGATTTACCTTAGATTTTCTGCTTTAATCACATTCTAAAACAATAAACAGTGTCCGGTTTAACGGCTACAATGACCACAAATAGTGTTGAATATTTGTCTCGGTGGCTTTTGCTTCTGTGCGGGGGATAAAAAGCAAAAAGGTGATAAGCGGAACCATTATCAGGCCGATCGATGCAGAGGGGACGGTGATGAATGCGGCACCGGCTCGCGAGTCCCATAGCAGGCTACGGTGAGCGCGGAGGGATGTTTATGGAGAAGACAATTACGGGGAACGAGGGAGAGAGGGGGGGGAGGAGGAGTTGGGTGGGGGGGCTTGGTGAGGTCTTTATTTGATCCATAAAAAAAAATACAAATTCACACAAAACATTTACATACATGAAAACCATGTAGTAGGGCTGTGATCTAAACTCATCTATGTACTCACATTTAGGCACTTTAGACATAAATAAAAGAAAATTACTTGTAGATGTATAATTTAGGCGGTCATGTGACAGAAATAAGACGTTTATCATGGCTGTAATGGGGAAAACATCTTCAAAACTTTAATAACTTGGCTCACATTAAGATCATAAATATTCACAGTACATTAAAAGGAGTGAAGATACAATCCTTCATTTGTATGTGTAGCTAAAAATAACTGTTTTAATCTGGATTAGAACATGAAGAAGCCTGTCTCACATTTTCAGGAAGACTGTTCCATCTGCTCCCCATATTGTTCCGACTCTTGGCACCAGCAGGAGGTCAGTCCCTGTGCTCCCCAGAGTTGGTTCATATGGCACTAACATGTCTCAGCTGTATGTGCGAGGCCATGGAGAGACAAACCCTGATAGTGTCGGAAGAATGGGTGAAAAGGGTGGGACATGTTCTGACATCTGCCCCAGTGGCTTCCGGAAACAGGTTCTAGCCTCCGGAGCTGTGGTTTAGGGGTAGGAGTCCCACCTGGATTCAAGTCTTCTCTTTATCCAACTAGCAATGAAAATGGTGATGGAAAATTTGGCTTACAAGTTCAGCATGATGATACGATCTCGAAACAAAAAAATCAAAAATTCCGAGTATCATTTACATATGTCTCCCACTCCATGGAGTTTGAGCCTACTGACAGCAATGATTGCATTTATTTTAAACTGATATTTTCCAGAGACTATATATAACTTGATATTATAGATATGAACCTAGGTAAGACTTGAACCCATAATCCCTAGCTTTGGTGGTTGGTGCCCTATCCATTAGGCCACTGGCTCTCTTTTTGATCACCTAGCTATATATTTATACCTTCTTATCATAAAGACAGGCCACGTTTCAGATTGCTAAGAACTTGTGCACAAACAGAAATGTAGAGTTATCTAGGTGGGATTCAAACCCGCAATCCCCAGCTTTGTCACCTCCATAAACAGTGTTGCTCTGTTGATTGAAACTCAACGTCACACAACTTGTTTTCAGATTCTGCTGAAACGATTCACTTGGTCGTACGTTGCACTGGTGTGAGAGAGCGAAAGGCAGAGTGGCTTAGAAGTCTCTGATCGGGATTTAGATATAAGGACGCTGAGAAATTAGAGACCCGGCTAGCCCGAGTGTAGCGCTGACCAGTGCGGAGAGCTTCCACTTATCTTTGGAGATGCACAGAGGAGAGTGAGTGAAGTGCTTAACACAACAAGACAGAAACAAAACAGGGCATCGCACTCATAAATAATCACAGTACATTATATACATGACAAGATGCAATCCTTCAGTTGTTTGCACAGCTTAACAGATCTGCTTTTAACCTGGATTCGAACAAAGACGAAGACTGTCTCACAATTTTGAGACTGTTCCAGATTTTAGCTGCAATAAATCTGAAATGCTTGACTCTGGGCACCAACAAGAGGCCAGTTTATACGGCACCGTGGAGACTTGAACAGAAACGCTGATAATATTTGAGGAATTTGTTAAAAGTGTAGATTCAACCAGTGACCCAGTGGCCTAATGGATAAGGCATCAGCCTCCGGAGCTGGGGATTGTGGGTTCGAATCCCTCCTGGGTCTGTAATTGAAGAAAGTAAGTCTTCGATTGAAAGTTTGGTGTAATGATTAGGAAGCATATATAAAAATGCCTTCATAAATGTAAACATAAAATTCTTGTGCGGTTTTCACAAATCTGTCTCACATCATAGAGGTAATATTGCACATGTTCCTATCTATACTTTTCTCTTTTGAATCTGATTTGAAAGACTGATTTAATTTGATGTTTTTCTATATTGTGAATAGCTTTCATAAATACAAAATAAATCATCGTTTGCAAGATTTTCACAATAAATGACATTTTGAAAAGAAAAAAATGAACTCTGATTGCTATGTTTTGTGCCTGCATCATCATTCTTCAGTTGCAAGAAGCAGTAACTCAAAGTCTTTTGGCCTAAATCCACTTCCAAAATGTGCAGCCTAATTATTCCACTGGTCTAAAGGTGCTGTGTTAGCACCATCTTGCCTGATCATGTCTAATACAATAGAAGTCAGCGAGAAGCCAACCCTGGCTGAGCAGCCCAGGGGGGTCCACATCCCTCAGGGTTCCTCCACGAGTAACTGGGCTCCTGTCCACGCAAATCCCTCAAAACAGAGGGGTTCATGGGCAGTTCAGTAAAGAGTCCACCTTAGAGGCTTTGGAGAAAAAAGGATCCAGAATGGAGACACTGTGATGCAGTAGTGTCCATTCATTTGCCTTCTGCTTACCTGAGGATGCTAAGATTAATGATTTCTATATTTAATGGCATCAACCCCTCACTACATCTGAGAATGTTTGGTGTGCTTTTTATAGGCATTATCCAGCCACAAAAACCCAAATCAAATTTTAATTAACAACCCAGGCGGGACTTGAACCACAATCCCCAGCAATGAAGCCTACTGCCTTATCCATTAGGCTATAACGTCACACATTAACACATGTTCTGGATAATTCAATTTGTCATAACTGCAGAGTTTCATTGATTAATTGTTTGCAATGACAGTATTATATAACAACACCTCGCTCTGATCCCAGCCCGGACCCTTGGGCTGCACCAATGGCTCCTGTGTCCTTCTAATTGCTCAATTCTCCGAGACGACTGCTTCACAAAAATAAATGGAGTTGAATTGAATCGTTTCCCAACATAGACAAAACACCCATACAAATTTACAGATTTGCAAAGTCTTCTTCCAGTGACACCCAATGGATTTACTCTCACTTAAATGATACAGACACTAGCGGTCTTTAACTTTCGGCCAGTCTCAAACCACCGTCTCATACACTGTGTTTAAAGTGAATGACTACGGCCTTGGTAAGAAATGCTCCATATTCAATAATGCAAGTAGCCATTAGTCGGACACATACAGATTTCTCGCGAGCGCACAGACAGCTGTCGGGTCGAAGCTGTATATTTGATCAATTATAGAAGCGGGTGCATATTACTGTGGAGGCTGTAAATGTTTTGATGCTTTTATACATGAGGACTCGATGATACGTGATACATGCCACCATCATTTGCAGAAAACATGGCTCCTTTCAACTTACTTACCTCAAGAAATCTTTTGAAAATATGAGTAATTTGTCCAATAATTTCATGGAAACTATATGATTGAATAAAATGTAGTTGAGTCGATGCAATAAACTAGGATATAGGGGTTATTTAATGCTTGGAAATGGATCTCTAGTACTAACTTTTTACCCCTACAATAGCACTTCAGAAAGAATCTTGTAAAATCGTCAAATCTTGCGGACGAATCAAATCAAAATGTGCCATCTTCACTGTATTAGAAAACATAATTTCTTTTGTAATGTTGAAGAATGTTGTAAGAAGGGCTGAGGGTTGATTGGTTGAGAGAGGGTGGTCCAGTCTTTCTTACGTTTATGTCTTAAGAAGCTAATCTAAAGATGTGAATAGTCAAAAAAATATATGCATGTTATAGAAACGAACTGTTTGGAGAGCGAGTAACTAGTTAGATAGATTCTACGACATTGATGCGGTTTGAAAGTTAGATACCCCAGCTTTAAAGACATTATTGTGTGGCTGGAAGGATCTATGAAGACAATAAGAAGTCCAGAGATGTGATGTTATGGGCAGTTGTGATCAAACACATGAACCAATCAAAACCTTCCAATCATGAACCAATCAAAACCTTCCAATCTGCTTCACATTTTAACCATTTAGTGTGAACTCCTTGAAGAAAGCAATTTTTTCATATATTTTTGTTTTTTTTAACCCATAGTTATTCACAAAATGGCTGAACTCTGAACCTTATAGGGTACTTTGGGTGACTTTGGTCTGTAACATGCGTTTTTTTCTTTGTTTGAAAATGATCTGTATTGTCTGAGTCGTGAAAAAAGTGACTAAACAGATAAACTTCTTCTTCTTAGATCAAACTTTATAGATCGCACAATGGAGAAATGTAATGTACCCTTCGAGAATCCAAATGGATTCTCGATTTTTCTTGATTGACCAAATATTGTTTTTTTTTTTTTTGCAACGACCTTAAAACCTCTCCAGTCCAAACTCTGTCAACGCCTTCAACCTGACGACGGCGGTGAAAAAAAAGCGTTGCCGTATCTCGTTCCTCCGATTGAGAGACGACATCTGGTTTCGCACAAAAGCCATCGGTGATCTTTGCCAACTTGTCAGTATCTGTGCCCCCCCGTTTATACAAGGCTCCCAGTGCCGATGTTAAGCCCTTTTAATGACTGGATGTCGTCCCAGTTGCCAAGTTCCAGTGTAATTGGTTGATGGTCAGCCAGAGCCAGGGGGTGGAGGTGGCTATGGGGCGGTTGGCAGTGGGGATGGGATTGGGTGTTGGCGTGAAGGCTCAGAGCAGAAACGGGAGCGGAAATCGAGCTGGATGTAATCGAAAAACAATGCTACACTGGTGTATACCAGATTGGCAGGTCCTTGTTAAATATATGTATAGATATAGAAAAATAAATGACTGAATGTTTGTGCAATAGTTTTTTTTTTTTTTTAATAGTATTTATTTGTCTCATAATAACTTCCATCCATCCATTTTCTTCCCCTTAATCCATTTCTGGGTCGGGGGGTGGCGGTCAGAGCTGCACCCAGTACACTTAGCACTAGCCCCTCACTGATCCTCCTGCAGGTGGTGAGTCCACAGGAGCTGAGATCTTTCAGTGGGGGCTTCAGGCAAAGTGGGGTTAAGTGTCTTGCCCAAGGACACAACAACAGCAGTCATCAGTGGGAGTCGTGAAGTAGGTCTTGAACCCACGACCTTCAGGCCCAAAGGCCAATGCTCTACCAACTGAGCTGCTGTCGCCCCATGTCAAAGAATTATCATAATAACATATTAAACAGAAAAGTGAAAAAAAAGAGGAAAATACCAATATCCCAAACCCTCCCTCCCTCACACACTCCATATACACACATAATTTGATCCAAAGTAAATAAAATCTACAACAACAAAAATGAAATAAATATAATAAAATAAAATAATATATTTATACCTATCCATACATACATACACATATAATGCATCGGTTTTATATAGCGCTTTTTTGGACACTCAAAGACGCTTCACATGTGTCATTATTCATTCACTCCATACACGGTGGTGATAAACTACTAATGTAGCCACAGCTGCCCTGGGGCACACTGACAGAAGCGAGGCAACCAGTATGTGCACATACATACATACATACACACACACACACACACATACACACATACAGTACATATATACACACATTCATACATATACATAAAAAATATATGTAATACAAAATATATATATATATATATTAAAAAAATAAAACATACATAAAAAAGTCATAATAAATAAGTACACAAATAAGTAAATAAATATATGAAACAATAATAACATTGTCATGTGCCCACACCTACATACATAAATGTGTGATAAGTGTATCTGTTTACATGCATAGACCTCCTAGTCCATAGATCATGAATAGGTATACTGTTAGATACATACAGGTGAATTTATAAAATGAAAAATAAAATAAAGAATAAAGGGATGGAACCTCTTTTCCCCTTCTCCCCCTTTACTTCCGCCACTGTGAACTTTGCTCCATGTTATTTATACCTAGAACAACGTTGAATCTGGCCTTTCTAAGTAGCGCAGAAAAGGTCCCCAAATTTCATGAAAAAGTTGCAACCTATTTCTAATTGTAAATGTAATTCTTTCAAGTGGTAATGTAGTTATCAGTTCCTTAATGAATTCACCTGTACTCGGCCCCGAGGAATCTTTCCAATGCCTGACGATTACTCTCTTTGCCAGAACCAAACATAGTTCTATAAACATTTGTTCCTTTAAATTCTATTTGTTATTTTGTGGTAAGTATCAAAAGTTTTGGGTCTAGCTCTATAGAGAGCAATAGTTGGTAACAACAAACTCATATCGCTATACTGCAAAAAGTGAAGAAAAACAAGTAAAAAAATTCTCAATTTTTTAAACATTTATCTTAATTTGAGCACATTTTTACTGCTATAAAACAAGTTTTTTCCAATGGGACAAGCACAATTATCTTGTTTTAAAAATATATTTGTAATGTCTCCCTTGGAATAAGAAAATAAAGCAACATTTCTTGAAATACCACTAAATGGTGTAATCCCATTGGAAAACCTTTGCACTGTTGCACTGTATGTATCATAATGTTTGAAATATTCAGCAGGGAGATGTCAAGCTACAGGTTGAAGATTCTACTACGAACAATATTCACACTGCGAACAAATCTATTCATAGTCCATAATCAACAAATCTCTCTGCGAACCGACCCAGATGGGACTCGAACCCACAATCCCCAGCTCCGGAGACTGGTGCCTTATCCATTAGGCCACTGGGCCCTGCTTTTGAGACATCATTTCACATGTTTTCAAACTTGATGAACATGTTGTTATTGGTCTTTGTGAGCAGTCATGAGCGAAATGAGCTGTGGTCCACATCACCCACAGACAGGTGCATTAATGCCACTGAATGAGGGTGACAGTAGCTCAGTTGGTAGAGCATTGGTCTTTGAGCCAGAAGGTCATGGGTTTGAACCCACCTCAAGACTTTCACTATCAACTCCTGCTGTCATTGTGTCCTTAGCAAGACACTTAACCTCTGGGAAGACCAGCCACAGTGGGCTGGCTGTGGCAGTAAAGTGCCAAACTGTCATTGTGTCCTTAGGCAAGACACTTCACCCCCATTGCCTATAATGAGTCTTTACTTGACTCTCATCTGGAGTTGGTAGCCATATCCTGCTTCTCCCAGTTCCTGGCGAAGCTCTGGAGTATATGGAATTAGGACGTCCCACTCACGGGGATAGGTGGCGACCTTCATGGAACAGTGGGTGAATAGCAATAAACAGATGATCAAGTAGGAGAGACATGGACAAACATTACTTTTGCATCGCTCTCCCTTTTTCTTCACACTTTTCTTTGCTGTGTGCTCCTCTTTCCTACTGTTCTATAATTTCCCCACTGTGGGACAAATAAAGGATCTCTTAATCTTAATCTTTTCTCAACAACTAAGGACGAATATACCTTTTTTTCAATTAGTCCTTAAAGCCACGCTAATGTTATAAAAAATGTCCAACTCATTCCATCAGCTGTCGGCACTCTTCCGGACAAGAGCGCGCCCGTATTATTAACCGCGGCCCATGCATCTTTCTCCTTTTGTTTTCACCACAAAGACATCCCAGTGACCGTTCGTAACCGCGGGGCACGAGATGTATGGTAATGCCCTGTCCGAGCGCCACTCCGCGGGCACGACGCGGCCAAACAAAACGCTTTCAGGCCGCGAGGAGGTAAGGAGATACATCAATCAATGGACAATTACCCCCGCCGCTAATCAGCTGTCCCCGGCTCGCGCACACCGGCCCCATTTGTAATCCCGTTGGCAGCATCAATTAAATTCTTAAGGTTAGTCTATTGAATTTTGCAGATAGTGGGGAATGGGAGGTGCATGGGGGGTGCGGTGTGGTGGTGCGCCAAAAGATTACGACACAGAAGTGAGTGCTTGATTTTGTACTGTAGATGTGAAAATGGTATGAAAGTGAGTCATATTTTAAGTTTTCTTTACATTCTTTAAAGCATGTTAAAACATTGTATACTCAAAAACAGAGGCAGATCCTAATGTGTAGGATTTCTGGTACAAACGCCAACATTTTTCATCCATGACATCGTCAACAGTAATCAACAGTTTGGTTCAAGTTTTCAAGACAAAAATAGTATTACTCAGCCAATCAGGTCTAGAGACTGACAGGGCTCTTCCTATTACAAGTAAGAAAAATAAAAATAAAGTTCTAAGTTTTTTGAAATGGTTAAACTGTTAAATATGGCTTGTAATTATGTATCAATCAATCAATCAATCTTTATTTATAGGGCGCTTTTCCTGCACAGGGCAACACAAAGCGCCTCACAGTCCACACCACACAATGCACAAATCATCACCATTAAAATACAATTAAAAACACATATGTAATTAAAAAGCATTAAAATCACATAAGTAATTTAAAAACATAAAAATCACACAAGTAATTAAAAACAATAAAATAGTTAAAAACACAAAAAGTTACAACAATAAATAACAAGGTGTGTTAAAAAGATAAAATTCTCTAGTTGTATGCACGGGAAAAAAGAAAAGTCTTTAACATGGATTTGAACATTGACAGAGAGGCAGCCAGTCTCACATCCTCAGGAAGACCGTTCCAGACTCCAGCTGCATAAATCTGAAAAGCAGCCTCCCCCTGTCTAGTCCTGACTCTGGGCACTAACAGGAGTCCCGTCCCTGCGCTCCTCAGAGTCCGGGCTGGTTCATATGGGACTAGCATATCATGGATGTACTTTGGTGCAAGGCCATGGAGAGACTTGTACACCAGGAGAGCTGCTTTAAAGTCTATCCTCTGGGCCACGGGAAGCCAGTGCAGAGACCTGAGGACCGGACTAATGTGGTCGTACTTCCTGGTTCTAGTCAGGACTCGGGCTGCAGCATTTTGAATATACTGCAACTGTCTTACTGCATGTTTGGAGATACCTGTGAGCAGGCCATTGCAGTAATCCAGCCTACTGGAAACAAAAGAATGGATAAGAATCTCCAAGTCTGCCCTGGACACAATATTTTTAATTTTGGCAATATTTTTCAGATGATAAAAAGCTGCTGATGTTAGCGATCCAATGTGGCTATTGAAGTTTAAGTCAGAGTCCATTATTACTCCCAGATTTCTGACCTTATTTAAGGGCTTTAGGGAGAGAGACTGAAGGTGACAAATGACGGTCTCTCTTTGTTTCTCGGGACCAAAGACAATCATTTCGGTTTTGTCCGCATTTAGCTGGAGAAAATTGCATTGCATCCACTCACTGATCCGCTGGATACAGCGAAGGAGTGAGTCCACCGGCCCATGCTCTCCTGCAGTCAGTGAGACATAGATCTGAGTGTCATCAGCGTAATTGTGGTAGGACACTTTCATACTTTGAATTAACTGACCTAATGGCAGCATGTAAATATTGAACAGGAGAGGTCCCAGAATCGACCCCTGTGGCACTCCGCAGGTCAGGGCCATATTATCTGAGACATAGTTTCCAATCTCCACACAATACTTCCTTTCTTCTAGATAGGACCTAAACCAGCTTAGGGCGGTACCAGCAACACCAACCCAGTCCTCCAGTCTCTGCATGAGAATCTCATGGTCAACGGTGTCGAAAGCGGCACTCAGATCTAACATGACTAAAACAGAGACTTTTCCTGCATCAGTGTTAAGCCGAATATCATTTGTTACCTTGACTAGAGCGGTCTCAGTACTGTGGTGTGGTCTAAAGCCAGACTGAAACATGTCAAATGAGTCATTAGATATTAAAAATTCAGTAAGTTGTTGGTAGGCAACTTTTTCAAGAATTTTTCCCATGAAAGGCAGATTTGAGATGGGACGGTAATTTTCAAGTACCGCAGCATCCAAACTGCTCTTTTTTAGGAGGGGCCTAATGACTGCCTTTTTCAGGGCCATTGGAAATGTTCCAGATAAAAAAGACATGTTTACTATTTGTGTCAATGAGGGTAATAGACTACACATAACAGACTTCAGAAATCTAGGAGGTAGTACATCCAGACTGCAGGTAGAGGAACTAAGACCTGTGATTATCTTTTTAACAGTTTCATCATTGACAGGTGCAAATTGAGCTAGCTCACAAAGCCTCACTGGATGTTGCATTGTTACTTGTGTTGTAGAGGTGATGGCATTTCTGATACCCTGAACCTTGTCTCTGAAGAACTGTGCAAACTCATTACACCTGGATTTGGAGTAGTGTTCTAATGGCAACTCAACAGGGGGATTCGTTAATCTATTGATTGTTGAAAATAGAACACGCAGATTGTTGCTGCAGCCTTCAATAGTTTCAGAAAAGTATAATTCTCTTGTTCTACGTAGTACTCTGTTAAACTCACACAACTTCTCTTTTAAGAGTCTATAATCACCCTGGAGGTTGGACTTTCTCCACTTTCTCTCTGCTCTCCGGCACTCTTGCTTCTGTGCCCTGACCGGGCCTGCTTTTATCCATGGGGCTTTTTGCTTATTTGTGACCATTTTTACCTTCACAGGGGCAATGGCGTCCAGAACATTCAACACACTAGAGGTGACAGAGTTAAGCAGTTCATCTACAGTAGAACATGATGCGTTCTCAAAATGGATCATTCCCATAAATAGTTCACCCGTGTTTTCATTTAAGTGTCTACTTCTAACAATTTCATATTTAGCGGGTGGTCTGGTAGCAAAACACATGTTAAAAAATACACAGAAATGATCCGACAGAGCAACATCAACTACATTAACTTTTGAAATATTCACCCCTTTCGTGATAAGCAGGTCCAAGGTGTGTCCTCTGCTATGGGTGGGGCCACTCACATGCTGAGTGAGGCCAAAGGATTCAAGTATGGAACTCAGCTCTTTTGCGTATCTGTCATTAACATTATCCACATGAATATTAAAATCGCCTATAATGACTAAACCATCAAAATCTGTGCATACAACTGAAAGCAACTCAGTGAAATGATCAGTGAAACTATGGCATGACTGTGGCGGCTTGTACACAACAATAATAAGAATGGAAGAAGATTTCTTTTGTTCTATTTTAAAAGAAACATACTCAAATGATGAAAATTTCCCAAGAGACACCCTATGGGAGACAATACGATCTTTAAAAACTGCTGCTATGCCCCCCCCCCTTTTATTTTCTCGTGTTTCATATTCAAATTTGAAATTTGGTGGTGAGGCTTCTATTAAAACTGCATCTCCTGTATTATGGTCAAGCCATGTTTCAGTCATAAACATAAAATCAAGATCATACGAACAGATACAATTATTAATTAAAAATGATTTGTTGCATAGTGATCTGACATTAAGTAGAGCAAGGTTAAAATTAATATCAGTGTCAGTGGGTTTAGTTGATTGATTACAAAGAACTGGAATTAGATTTCCAGAGTTGGACCGTCTAACTGCTGTCCTTCTTTTAAATTTGTGTTTATTCAAGTTAAAACACATTTCTGAGCTGGTGCGAGGAACACACACAGTCTCTATTGGTTTAAAAAGTGAACTCTGTTGTACTTTGTTAAGTTCCAGATGCATAACTGAGTCAGCACAGTTCAGTGGCAGGACTGTCGTTACACTGCCAGACGGACAGGGGTCAGTGTTTGCACCACAGTACTCACCCGGTGCTGGTAAGGAGGAGGAGGGGGGTGGTGGGGGCCGAGAAGCCTCAGATGTAAACAGTCACGCCCCCCTCGGGGAGCACTGAACAACATGGCGCAGGAAGTCCGTCAACAAACTGGTGCCGTATCTGTTCGGGTGCAGACCAGTGTCCATGTGTCAGAGCATGTATTTTAGGAGTAGACCGACAAGGGCTAACGTCAACATAGTGTTAGCCTAAAAGCTAAAGCAGAGCTGAAGCCAGTTTCCTCATATGGATTTGTTCCGACCGGGACATGTTGCTAAGCTGGAGTTTCCCCTGTGAATGAAGGCATTGGTCAGAATCGATCTTATCATGTCCATAAACAAATAAATGTAAACATTGTTGATAAAAAATGAAATGAAAATAACACGATAAAGACGGCATGAAAAGACCCTCTCCGGTTGAATACGTAGTTTAGTACCTAAGCTTTAAGAACCAACATTACATTCATTAATATTGTTTTTTTATTGTACACTACAAAAAGTGATACAACAATAATGAAATTTGGCATTTTGATTGCCTTAAAACAAAATTTGCCAATGGGACCAGCAATAAGATCTTGTTTCAAAAAGAAAATAAAGCAACAGTTCTTGAAATAAGAACATAATAAGATTCAAGCAATCATCAATCAATCAATCAATCAAATTGTATGTTTAAAGTATTTTTCATACAAAAAAATGCAACACAAAGTACACACACACACACACATATATAAAGTCACATCAGATAGATAAACTAAGTAAAACAATGAAAAGATATAGGGCTGGGTGCAGATGTATCTAGCTGAAGAAGCGCCATCCAAGGAGCCATCTGCACCAGAATGGCTGGTGCAGATAGCTCCTTGGATGACATCATATTCTAAATATTCTTGAAATATATGATTATATTCTGTAGATCTTATATTATTGTGATCTGAAATATCCAACCTTATACTTTCTAAAATTCATACTGGGGCCGTGTTTTCACCGAGGAAGCAACATTCTCTCAGGACCAAAAACTCCAAGGTCACTCCAGGCGTCCGCTGGTCCGGCTCCTCCCAGGGCCTGAGCACCTCTCCCAGGGCAAAGTCAGCTAAAAACAAAAGGTGCTCCCGCTTTGATCCGCTTGTAATGACCCCAAGACGAGCTTCATTATATTCCCCTATCCCCCCTTTGCCCCCCCACCCCATATCTGCTGACCATACTAATCACAGCAGCCATCGATCGCACCAGAGCACGCGGTCTACAAGTGTGTGTCCAGATGCAACGTCGGTAATTAAAGCCAGAAGAAGATATGTGGGTCAGCGATGAATGAAT